TATAACCTGTGTGAACCTGAATAAGTGACTTAACTTTGTGCCTCAGTTTCCTCCTCTGTAAGATCAAATCTCATAGTATCAACCTCATAGTGTTGTGAGGATTAAATGAGTTGGTAGAACTTTTCTAAGATTCTGGGAACAATCTTATCTAAAACACAGAGTCCTAATAACCACAAGGGGGCTACTGACTCCTTGAAATGTGGCTAGTGGGACTGAGGCACTGATTTTTCTTCACATTGCATTTATATTAATTTAAACATAAACAGCCACAAGTGGCTGGTGGCTACCGTATTACCCTGCACAGACGGAGAACATGGCCTGACCACGGTGGAACCACTAGCATTAGTTAGTAAAGGTTAACCTAAGTGTCACCTGGGAACAGCAGAGGTGCAGGTGCTGGTAGGTAGAGTTGACCGACAAGAAATTGCTTATTACTGTGACCTCAGATGAAGGAAAAGGGAGAAAAATCAGTTTCCAGTAATACATAAAATACGTGATTGAAAACACTTCAAATTAGGGCTGTTTGGTTCACTAATAAATCATGTGCACCAAATTGCCAATTTAATTCGTTCTAACTCTGTCTCAATTTTTTTTCTTCATTTCAGTTTCAGTTTTGAATAATGTTAGGTATTTTGTAAAGAGTATGCTAAGTGTGTGATATTTTGTGATTTCCAAAAGGTATCTATAATAAGTGTGTGTGTGTGTGTTGGTAACTTTTTGATTCACTAAAGAATCAGAATAGCAAGTTCTTGTCATGAAATAGCATAAAGCACAAGAACTCAGTGGATTGATATTGGTGAATTTGGTACTTAATTTAGAAAAGTATTATATAACAGGTCTATTTTAAAAAACAGAAATATTTTAAATGGAAAATTGAAAAAATTAAGGCCATGTAATCTACAGAAAAACATTCAGTGTCACCAAGTGTGACGTATGTTTTATTCTTTTCTCTGGTTCAAGTAATGGATACTCTAAAGTGAATACACATAAAAGTTCTTTCTTAATTTAAATAAACTTCTCCAAATTTCCTGAAGGCTCCCTTTATTTAAGACTTTATGAGACCAAGAAAATCAGAAATACAACTACAAAGATACAGAATTAGGTTTACAGCAACAAAGAAAAGGGAGCTGCATGGATTCCTGAAAGAATCTGATGCAAACAGACATTTTCTCCTTTAATAGTCATTGTTCTCAGCCTTTTATAGATGCCATAGCATGATGCATCACCTAAATCAACACATAACCTGAAAACACCATGCATAAGCTCCATTTTCCTCAAAAGAAGTGAGGGGGAAGAGACACCGCTGCTTAAATTCCCCAAGCAGAAAACAATGATATTGAACATTGGACAGGTTTTTCTATTATTTGGGTCTGAGATGATATTCAGTATCATCTCGGTAGGCAGAAGAAGTACGTTTAAATTCTCAGTGCAAGAGACAAATGTCAGAAAATGGACAAGGAGTCTTTGTTAATTGCAAAAGAAGTACTTTACAATCATTGAAGAGCCTCTCCTCTCATCCCCGCACCCCTCCCAGCCTTTTTCCCACTCCAGTATCAGGGAAGTCTGGGCAGTATTGATATACTCCTGCCAGCAGCTCATTACAGAGGCAATATCTGGAAGCAAACTGATTAGGCATGACTCATGAAATTATCCAAGGCTTAACCTTCTGATCATATTCAGAATTGAAGCCTATTTAAGAAGGCCAAATGAATGGGCCGGTCTTTCAAATACTAAATGTTCTCTGTCACTGCCATCAGTAACCTGGAAGGGTGTACTTTGATTTCTGCAGCATATGGGGTCTTCTTGTAGAGCAAACCTACTGATAGGGAAAGGGTTCTTAATCAGGGGTTCATGGGCTTTTAGAGAGTTTCACAGGTCTACAGTGCATTCCCTAAAAAGCAATGTTCATAGCGTGTATATCTTATTTGTCACTGTGCATTTCTGTGTGGAAAAAGGGTCAGTAGCTACTATCAGATTAATTTTTTTTAAGGGGCTTACACTCACAATAGCATGCCATGGAAAAGCCAAATCAGCAGCAGCTCCACCTTCTCTGATTTAAAGAGCTTTTGTAAGTATTATCTTTATTTTACTTTTTTTTAATCCAAACATTTTTTTGAAAGTTTTCCTAATGCAGGAAAAATTGACTGGACACACTTGAGAATCAAACCCAGAGTACCATGTAAAGTATTCTAATGCCATTCTATGCCTCCAATATCTAAGTGAATAGAATCAGGACGTCTGGAAAGAAAGTAAAAAATTCAGTCTGTCTTCCTTATGTTTTGTCTATGCCAGAGGTTTCCACCTGGTTTTCCACCTGGGCCCGGGAGGGGGGCAATTTTGGTTTCCAAGGGATATTTGGCAATTGCTAGAGAAACTTTTAGTCGTGATGACCTGGGTGGGGGTTGCTCCTGGCATTTAGTGGATAGAAACCAGGAATGTTGCTGAACATCCTACATTGCACAGGACAGCTGCACCACAAAGATGTATCCCGCGTAAAATGTCAGTAGAGCTGACGCTGAGAAACCCTGATCCAGACCATGACTATTGGCTTTGCCACAGCCTTCAAACAAGGCTGATCCATCCACATTTGTGCTAGCCTGCCAGTTATCTATTATTTAACCAGCATCCTCCCCCACTGGGCCTTATTTATTCTCAGACTTGTCACTGCAGCTTCAAATCCAACACTGTCCCCACCAATTTGATAATCTCCCCTATTTCCCAACTGGCATTTCAGACCTTAGTACAAAGTGGTTACTGCTAAGTTTTTAGCTTTCCCAACAGCTCTGGCTTCGGAGTCCAGGACTTTGTCTTAGAATCCAGGCTGGACAGACTTGAAATTGAGTCCTAGCCTGGTCACTTACTAGCTTCCAATCCTCAGGCAATTTACTTACTTCCCTACATCATGGTTTTCTTTTTCATAAAATAGAATGCCTGGCATCAATGATCCTGCCCCAGAAAACCTTCTTCTAAAGGGAATAACTATTATTATAATATCATCTTGTTCCCAAGTTCCCTAGAGCTGATACAAATCCAGCCCTAGTGTTGGGAGGCATATGTCAGAATATATATGAATCATGGCTGTCAACTGGGCTGAGCCTTAGAAATCAAATAAATGAATGACAGGCTCCACCACCTGAGATTCTAATTTAATTATACAGGGTAGGGCTAGACCTCTGTCTTTTTAAAGTTCCCCTGGTGACTTTATCATGCCCACCAGATCGAGGACGGCTGGTTAAAGTGCTGGATTTCTTGTGTGGCACACAAGCCATGCACCTGCTATTGTTGCCATCATTGCCATTGTCCTACCCCTAATTCCCCTGAACCCGGCTCTCCACCCACTGTTCCCCAGGGCATGGAGTCTTAAATGTAACAAACTTGAGGAATTGTCTGAAAGTTTCAATTTTTCTTATCGATTTAAAAACTTCTATAGACATAAGTTTAGGCACAAACCATGGCTTGATTAGTAGCCATAAGATTTTATTCTTTTTCTATTGATATACAGTAATTGTACACATTTATGAGGTACATGTGATATTTTGATGCATGCATAGTATGTAATGATCAAATCAGGAAGATTTTATTTTCTACTGTGGAGTCAGTAAGCAAGGGTCCTCCTCTCTGGTCAATGTCCTTCATCTTTTTGTCTCTTCATAAGAAAGGCTTATTTCCACATGTGTTCATCTACAGTATATACTGACTAACAAAAAATTAAAAAGTATAATAATGGCCAGGTTGTCACATTAAAAACTCAGAAATCCAGTAAATTCTATTTTTGAGCCATCAACCTAATTTGTTATTTTTTCTTCTCTCTCATTAACCTAATTTAGCAAATATTATTGGATTCTGGCTAGGTACTGGAGTTAAAAGTGAGCTAAAACATAAGGGTAATAAAACAACTCACCCAGGGGACTGCTACTCTAAACAATCAAGAACTATGATGTACTGAGTCTTTTCTGGGGGCCTTGCCATGTGTTAGCTGCTCATTCAAACCCTCTCTCATGAGGGAAGAATTGTTATTATCTGGTACCCACATCACATAGAGCTGATTCAGAACCATTTATTTGGCATTCACATCCACTAAACAAATAGACAAGTCTTATAACCATCTGGGTATTTTCCTGCTCATTGTGTTTGCACTGGGAGCACATATACTTCCAAGTATATAGCACAGAGTATACACAGCATAGGGTATAATAATACAACAGCATTCTACATGGATTACCTCATATAAATGTCAGTTCAACCTAGAGACAAGAAAACTGAGTCTCAGAAAGCTTGAATCAGTCACCCAAGGCCCCAAGGTTAGTAACAATCTCAGCTAGTGCCAAGCACGGCCACCTCCTGGGATGCTTTGCCAAACACCTGATCCTTCTGAGAGTCATTACACATAAACTCACCAGCAAGTAGTCATATACCTTACTAGACTTAGATATTATGGCTGTAGATTTAAAAGAAAAAAATCTCTTTCCCCTATTTTAGTGTCCAGATTCCACTTCTTCACACTCAGTAGTAAGGACTCCTTTCTTGGACACATCTTTTTTCTAATATCTCTGAAAGTAAGAAGAAATAACCCCCTGGAGCATTTTCTACCTCTTGAACTCAGGGATCCCCTGAGTCCTGGTAGGAAATCTGGGCCCAATCCAGAAGCAAAGTCCACTTGGCAGCCTTCACTGTGGAGATGTTGCTACGCCAAATGCACTTTCACTTCCTGCTGACAAGGAGCAGCCAGTGGCCATGGCTATTGGCCTGAACTCTAATTAAGTTGGTTTTATAATGAGGAAAAGAGTGTGATCCTAATTAGTAATTTTCCATTTTTTCCTCAATAGGCATCCCCCAGTCAAAGCAAGAAGCTATCCTCATCAAACTGGTTCTATTGCCAAAAAAAAAAAAAAAAGCTACATTCTAAAACTTTAGCAAAAGAGGAAACAGAGAGATAAAAGAGTAGAAAGAGGTTTTATTTCCTGCTAATGAGCTTCATTCTCCTTCAATTTGTTCTGTAGGTCCGTGGTGCTAAGGTAGTTGGTTCTGAAATGGTTGTGACAGTTGAGTTCACCAATCCATTAAAAGAAACTCTGCAAAATGTCTGGCTCTACCTGGATGGTCCTGGAATATTGAGACCAAGGAGGAGGATGTTCCGGTAAGCCCTGGAGAGTGGACAATGGGCAGACAGTGTGGGGTTGTGATAAGCGCTTTCTCTCTCTCTCTCTCTCTCTCTCTGCAAGGCTGTCAGGTGGATCACCCGAGCTCAGGAGTTCAAGACCAGTCTGAGCAAGAGTGAGACCCCTGTCTCTACTAAAAACAGAAAAATTGTCATTGTTGTGGGCACCTGTAGTCCCAGCTACTTTGAAGAATGGGGCAAGAGGATCACTTGAACCCGGAAGTTTGAGGTTGCTGTGAGTTATGATGACATCACAGCACTATACCCAGGATAATAGAGTGAGACTCTGTCCCAAGGGAAAAAAAAAAATTAAAAAAAAAAAAAATATATATATATATATACATATATATGTTTTCTACCTTTCGAACCCACCAATGATCCTAATTCTGCCTTTTGGACTGGCATAAAATATGACCCATTTCTCTTCTGTCATATGCCTTGTAGATGTTTGCAAACAGCTGTCTTGTTTTCCTTGCATCTTCTCTACTTGGAGCCAAATATCTGCCCTGACTTTTTCTTTCCTCTAATGTAGTTTCAGCTCCCTCTCTCTCCCACACATTCCAATTTGTCAGTCCTCCTCTTAAAGTGTGACACCCGGAATGGATCCCAATCTTTGAGGTTTATTACTTTCATTTCTACCACAATAAGTCTCTGTCAGCATCAATCAATCAAGCACATTTCCTGTGGGTTGACCTTCTAAGCCATAGAAAGGGAGGTGTAGGACTTTGGAAACTGCCTTATGACCAACTATCTTAGCAGTTTTCCCAGTGTCTTTCATGGAAACTATCCCACTCAGGAATCTGTGGGACAAGTTCAAGGCCTCACTCTCTCCTCTTGGACACCTTTATTACCCATGAAGGGGTCTGTGCATTTCTTTCAAGTTAACAATACTCACAGCTCTTCATCCCATCATTTAAGAGATGCTTGATTGTAGATGCAATGAACAACAGAGAAGATAATTTGAGCATTTTTTGAAAAAATGCAAACAATAAACATAACAACCTCCTTGTGCTAATAGAAAAGTTGCAAGAACAAAAAAAGGAAGTAAATTAGAAATCAGTCCCAGCTAGAGGGAGGGATCAGCAGTGATAGCTCTGCCTTTGTCAGAAACGAGTCTCACTCACCCACTCTCGCACCTTCCCATTTGAATCAGATGCAAGAATTGTTCCCGCAAGGTAAAATACATTTTCTCTTCCAAACAGCCCCCTCTGTATCTAGTTTTTCCTTCTCAAGCAGTAACCCCACAGGCTTTGTCTGACTGTGCTAGAAACTCTTGCTACCTTTATACTTTGACTGTCTCAAGAATTCCACCTTGATCAAAGCCAAAGCATGAAAAGGGACCCTCTGTGTCTTAGAAAAGATGAATTCTTTCTAAGTGCCATAACCTCCATTCAGGAGGCTACAGGCTCAAAGTAGGTTAAGTCTTTAATGCTTTGCTTACTAATGTCTGACACTGAGGTAGGGAAAATTGGGATGAATCAGTGAAAGGATGAGCAAGATCTGTCCCTATATGGACAGATTGGCTTAAGACCCCATTAGTGGTTATCCCATTGGCTTAAGACCCCATTAGTAGTTATTATCCCATTGGCTTAAGACCCCATTAGTAGTTATTATCATCATATTCAGCTATGGCAGACAGATAGTTAGACAGAAAGCTGAGAGTTCTTAGTTCAGGCTACAGTAGCAAATACCAGAGATGAGGGGACTTATAAAATAGACATTTATTTCTCACAGTCTGGAGCCTGAGAAGTCCAAGATCAAACACTGACCAATTGAGTTTTTGGTTTGTTTGTTTCTTTCTTTTGTTTTTACATTGGACTGAGACTTTAATGGCCTTTGAAATATTCAGATACAGCAGTAGGGCAATGTGGTTCTTAATGAGGGTTCTCTTCTTGGCTCTACAAAATGGCACTTTCTAGGGGTCCAAGTTGTCACAGGGATTTTCTTACTGTGTCTTCACATGGTACAGAGAGAGGCAGGCAAGCTCTATGGTATCTCTTCTCTTAAGGGCACTAATCCCACCATAAGGGCCCCACCCTAATAACTTCATCAAAATGAATTACCTACCAAAAGCTCCATCCCCAAATATTATCACATTGGGGGGTCTGAGCTGGAACAAGTGGATTTTAGGGAACACAAATACTTAGTCCATAACAGTTCTCAATCTCTTTTAAAACAATTTTTATTGGTAGGATTGTAATTGTACATATTTAGGTGGCACAGTTTGATGTTGTGATACATGTGCTTGTTGTATAATTATCAAATTGGGGTAATTACCCTATCCATCACCTCATGAATTTATCATTTCTTCAAGGCAAAACATTTAAAACCCTCCCTTCTAGCTATCTTGTGCAATACCTCACTCTTAACCATCTTCACTAGTGCATTCTCCCTCCTCAGCACTTGGTACTCATTGACCAATCTCTCCTCATACTCCCTCTGCCCTACCCCCTCCAGTTTCTGGTAGCCACTGTTATACTCTTTATCATTTAAAAATTTCGGTTGAATGATATCATCTAGTACTTGTCTTTCTGTGTCTGGTTTATTTCACTTAACATAATGTCCTCCAGGTCCATCCATGTTGTTGCAAATGACAAGATTTTGTTTGTTTTTAATGGCTGAATAGTTATAGAAACCAAGATCCAAGATGGAATCTCTCCCAGGCAAAGGGAGTTTTGTTTTTCAAAGATATTCAAAAATTGGGGTGGGGGAAAACATGATATAGAAAGCATTTGTTACCTAAGCTGGGCTTAGGGCTTTGGAGCAAGTATTACTCTCTCTTTCCTCCTGACTCCAGCACACACCTTTATAACCAAGGCCTGAACCAGCCAGTGCCCACTTCTGTATGGTCCAATAATTAGAAACACTCGACTGTACCCTGTGTTGCTGAGGTCTGATTTAGGAATGCCAGATCCATGTGATAACTTGGACCCCTAGAAAGTGCCATTTCATAAAGCCAAAATCCTCTGCAAGACTGTGTTCCTCTCTGGAATGCAGATCTCAGACTGTTGGGGAATCACTACCTCTACCCGTCCACCAGTATCCTGCCAGGTGTTGTGTCTAGAAGTCAGGGGGTCTTTAGCCTAAAACAGAGGGCCTGGAAAATGGAAGCGAATGAGCAGAAAATTGGAACTAGCAACAAGGAAAGTGGTGCCATGTCTCCCCCAGGTTCTAAGCCAACTCTACTCATGATGTCTTAACTGCTTGCTCTCCCCTGCCTCCTGCCCATCTCAAATGCTCAGAGGTTCTACTTCCAGACCGCTTTTAAGTTTTCTGCACTCAGTGCTTCCAGAGCATCAAATAATTCATCTTCCAGATTCATTTTTCTCTTTAAAAAATGATCAGGTTCAGTGAGTTATTTCGAGAAAAAAAAATTCCCTGACTTTGTTTAAACTTTAAGTTCCTCAAGTAGGACAGTAGTTGAGGGCTAGATACACAGAGGACAAACCATAGGTAGTTGCAGTTTATTGTAATAATAATCCCATTTGCCTGTGTGCATTCAAGATGATAAATGACCAGTGTAGCTTGATGGCTCAGCACATTACTCAGAATCATTTATCACAACATCCAACCCCAGGAAATATGATTATTCCAACATTACTCCACTTACCAAAATGGGCAAATGATTTTTTCTCTCTCTTTCTGTTATGTATTTATCAGTAGGTACAATGGCATGCATGTGTACCTTCACATATGAGTATTTTTGTATGTACACATCACTATGTGGACACTTTAATGCAAATGATATAGTACAGCTCAAGATTTCCTTTCTCTTTGAGGCAGTTACCTAGGGCACATGGTCCCAGGTCAGATTCTTAAGCAGGACAACTGTTTCACAAAGTGACACTTATTGATCACTTGGGGAAACCAGGGGAGAAAGAAGGAATAGGTTTGGGTTAAAGTAGCACGGCTGTTGAGAAATAACTATCTCAAACTTATATTCATAGTGAATTGATTACTGTCAATTAAGGACAGAGAATTGTCTCTTTGCATATGGACAGGAGAAACTTCCCTAAATAATTTTGCAGAGACTTCCAGCAGAGCAGACAATAAACCACAGCAATCGTGGTGATAATGATAATAATAAGAAGAACACATTTCTAACAATGCTGGGCATTTACCATGTCTTGCCATGATTATAAATGCAGTACAAGTATTAATTTACCCCTACCCTCTCCTCACCCTATGCAGTATCCAAAAGTGTCCACCTTTTACAAAACAATGATGATGTCAATGTTTTTCAAAACTTGATCATAAAATCAATTCACTGTGTTTGACAAAATACTCATATATAGGTTATGTCTGTGTCCATTTTTCACATAATTTGGCTTTTATATAGCTGGTAAAAGTAACTTAGCCACATTTATAAAGAACAAAAATTAAGAAAAGTATTAACACATACCAAATTAATGTACACATTTTAGTTTATCAGTATCAAAGTTAATACCTAGAGCAGCTTCCTAAAGAGAGCTCCCCAAGGCCATAGATGCCTTTTTCAACTCACTAGCCATGGATTTGACAGAAAAAGGGATTTCTTATTTAGGATCTGCACTTCTGATATTGGGAAGCTTTTCCCTTTTACCCCAATGGATGTACACCCACAGCCAGCTGAAATACATATTATTTTAATGACATTTGAAGAAATATTGAGGTTCTATCAACAACTTTATATGGAATAGGTCACACACAGATGTATGGCACCATATTTTCCCCTTCACTTTGGCTGTGTGGGAAGTGGTGCTTATGACCCCGGGCCCTGCAGGGCAATTGAAGGCTCATCTAGCTGAAGCCCTTGAGTCACTGTTAACTTTGTTGACAGTTCTTCTTCCTAAGAGCTCTTCTCCCAGCTACCTAGTCAAAAGCTTAGTGATGCCCAGCTCCTTTGGCCCCCCAGGTCCCTCTTCATTGCATCTGGTATGACATGCCTCACTCAGCCCCTGAGTGCTTTCTCTATGGCATCTATGGATCCTCAAGAGGCACAGAATTCCTTTCTACAACACATTCCTCTTTTCTCAGTATAAGCACTTTCTTCAGGTCCTCTGACATATTTCCATTCTTAAGTCCCACTATCTTTTTCTGACCTCAGCTGTTCCCACAGCTCCAGATCCTTTCATAGGCTGCTGGGTTGTGGGTGCTGGTGTGAGTAGTGGGATTCTTGTCTAGCTTACCCATTTCCCAGCTGTGCAATCTGGAGGATGCCATTTGATGTCTTAAAAGTGTACTTTTCTTACCTGTCATCAGGGGGTAAAAATGCCTTTATTATTGGGTGGATTAGAAACTCAGCCTTGTGCTGGTAATTCCCTTTTCCTCCTCAGTCTTTACCCTGTACCTTTCCATTCATCTAATTAGAGGCCCCTCCCACCAGAGAACTGAGAACCGCTGACCTCTTGTGTACTGACACAGAATTCACTGAAATTCAGCCACGCTTATGTGGCACAGACTCACCCATTCTCCAGGTCCACACACCACTGGAGGAAAAGAGTTTGGCATAGAATTCAGCCTACTCACTTATATTTATAAACATCATTCTAGGGCTTGAATTGGCTGATTTATTCATCTATAGCTAGTTAGGTAGTGAATAAACTAGTTATGTGGGCAATTTTCCCTTCATTTTTTACTCAGCTTAAAAATTATGTATAGCCCAGAGATTACCTTGCATAAATGTCACTATAACCTGCTAATTTGGCAAAATTTTGTCATACAATAAATTCATCTCTTGAAAGCTGGAGTTAGCTAAAGCACTGGATTGCTACTATGGTGAAATGGCAATAGCTACTATTTTCTGAATGTTCACTACATACCAGGCCCAGTCCTGGGCACTTTGCTTGGACTGCCTAATCCTCATGGTAAGTCTATGGAGTAAACACTGCATGGTTCCCATTTTGCAGATGAGAAAACAGAGGCTTACAGAAAGACTATAAATTGCCTAAGATTATACAGCTAGGAAAGGGTTAAGCCCAAGTACCTGGACTTCAGAGTCCATGGCGCTTGTAACCAGTAGAGAGTATTTCACTATACAGATGCTAGGTGTTTCACATTATTTAACTAGCAATGTCTGATTTTTTAGAAAATGGACACATTCATTCCAATTTGCTTTTCTCTCTATAGCTCCATCCGACAGGCAAATAAAACCATTAAATAAACTCCACATGTAATAGTGCTAATTATGAAACCATACTACAAATAAGACCCCTTTTTTTCCCATTGAGACAGAATCCCACCTTATGCCCTGAGGAGAGTGCAATGGTGTCATAGCTCACTGCAATCTCAGACTTAGGCTGTGGGTATCCCGCTGCCTTAGCCTCCAGAAGCCACTGAGATTACAGGCACTCGCAGCAACACCCATCTAGGTTTTTCCATTCTTTTGGGAGTCAAAGTCTCACTCTCACTCAGGCAAGTTGTGAACTCCTGAGCTCAAGCAGTTCTCTCTCCTCAGCCTCCCACAGTGCTGGGATTACAGGTGTGAGCCACCACACCCAGAGCAAGACCATTTTTTTACTTGGTATTCTTCACTGCCTATACAGTAGAACCTCTATGGTTGACCCCCTCCCTACATTGACCACCTCTGTAAGTTGACCTAATTTTCATAGACTGGATATGTACTACATGTACATATCAATCAGTACAGTAGGCTTACTTCCTTACGTTGACCACCTCTGGTTGTCAGTTTGTTACAGTGCCCTGGTGGTCAACTTACAGAGGTTCTACAGTATAACAATGTGTTTTTTTAAAACTTCTAACCACCCAAAATTGCTAAGTATTTATAGAGGCTTTACGTCTCCAAGCTCATTAGAATTCATATCCAGTAATGAGCCAATTTTAGTGACCATAAAGTAACTTTGAGAACCAGCCGGTTTTACAGCCTAATGAGTCATATTTGGAGGAAGCCATATACTGCATTATACAAAACCACATGGGACAGATTGTGTCATCCCAGAGCAGAAGCAGCCAATACTTTTGCTATGAGGCAAGTCTTTTTACCATCCCTCATTTTTCTGATGTTCAATTTTTCATAAATGGCAACATAGTATAAATTCTATTCTACTAATAGGACTCTAGAAAGAATATTCCAGCTCTTCCATTATCTGGACCATTGAGTCCTGTGACCTTGGAGATTAAGTAGGGTGTTTAGGACCTCAGTTTCCTGATCTCTAAAATGACAACATTGGACTAAGTGATTTCTAAAGTTTTCTGATTCTGACAGGGGTCTGTGCTCCTGAAAATAGTCCCCTTTTTTCTCTTTTCAAAACACTCATGGTGGTCTTCATTCATCTACCTCCACTCTTCCAGGGAAAGGGTGGCTCAGGGTCCGGTGCCAGGTCACCAAGCACATACCCTCCTGAGGGTCAGAGACCATTGAACAGGAATGCAGTGAACATTTGTAGGAAGCTCTTGACACTGAACAGAAGAGTATCTATCTTGAGAAATACAACCTATGAAAAAGTAAGCATAGAGGTTAGAAAAAGTATTTTCTTGTAGAATATAATATGAAATACAATATGTAGTAGCAGAAAATCATGATTTTGGAACTCAGATAAACCTGGGTTAAAATCTCATCTCTGCCCATTTACTAACTTTGTGATCTGGAAAAAGTAACTTCACTTGTTAACCCTCCATTTTTCTTAGTTATAAAATGTATTGAAGAGTGTTTACCTCAAGGTACTACTATCACACATATAAAACCTGAATATAATCTCCTCCCAGGGCTTATAGGGGAGAATATTTTAATATATATGTATGAATCACCCAGAGAAGCCTAAATCTCCACAGTGGGGATTGACTAGAGTCAATCATCCACTAGAGTAGGCTTGCCCGTGAAACTCAGGAAGACCTCAGGGTACAAGGCTGGGGTGGAGAGGAGAACACCAGGACCATCAAAGGCTGTATCATCATTGGGTACATAGAGCATTAGGAACAAATAAATAGCAGAAAGTTGCAGGGGTGGTGGTTGAAATAGGATTACAAATTACAAAACATAAAGATATTCAAAGTCAGATGACAGCAATCGGGGCTCTGTTCCAGATGCTGGGCCTGGAAACAAGGTCTATCCCAAGGGAGTTGGCTAATTACAGTGTCATGATAGGTCTCATAATCTGAAATACAGATTCAGATAGGTCTCTAATCCCAGAAGGGAACCAAAGTGGCAAAAAAAAAAAAAAAAAGAGCCTATGTAGATCAGTCACATAGATAAGGCTGCCATAGAAGGCCTGGTGACAAACCAGAATTCAGTTGCCTGGTGGCTAAGTGGGGTTCAGTCAGCATCTTTCAACTCCTGGGAGGCCACTAGATGTAGCCAAATGGAAGAAACATGACCCAGTGGGACTGTCAGTGACAGCCTCTGTCTTATATGGGGACCTTACTTGGGTTGTAACTTACTGAATCAGCCAACCAGGCCACTAAGAATTATTAACTGAGAGAAAGAAAGCAAGAGACTCAGGAAAGGGTTCTGATCACTTCCCAATCAGGACAGGAAGCTGAATTTGCCAACCTTTCTTCTCTTTTCTATCTTTTCAGTGAAATCCGGCCCAATACCACCGTGCAATGGGAAGAAGTATGTCGACCTTGGGTCTCTGGTCCTCGAAAGCTGATAGCCAGCATGACCAGTGACACCTTGAGACATGTGTACGGCGAGCTGGACTTGCACATTCAAAGACGACCTTCTGTGTAGATGCAAAGGAGGCCAAGGCAGATGCAGGCACCCAGCTTCCTGTAGTTGTGGCTAAGAAAATGCTAATGCAAAAATAATCAGCTCTTGCTTTAACTTAGGTGTCAAGACCCAGACAGACTAGAGAGTGCTGACACCACATATTTCAAATATACACTTTTCAAAACCTGGGCTATTCAGTGCGGAAGTTAGTTTTTAGTGGCTCCACCTTCCAAAAGATTCTGAGCATTAGCTTTAACTAAGCTCTAATTAAGCTTTCATAGCTCGTAAGAGTAAAAGTCATCATTTATCATCATGATGGCTGCAGCTCCAAATATCAGGGGTCCCCTAGCAGGAGGATTTTATTGATACCAAAACTTGTGATTCCCCATCTATTCTTTTGTGGTAACACACTCCCTGAAAGGGAAAGAAGCATGTCATTTGGGCCCATGAATTCTATTCTCCTTTCATAGAACTAGGTTCTACCCTCTGTATCAGAATATTTCTCCCAGGACTTGAAAGCAACATCATTTTTCTTCTTGGCAAAGCCAGGGAAAGGTCTTTCATCTTGCACCTGCAGCCAACCAACTGCCTGCCAAATTTCACAGATTTACCTTGTGAGAAGATGTGGCCCCACATTAGCAAATAACATTTGTAGGAAACTTAATCACCTAAGAGGAGATAAGAAAGCAGATGCAGTATTCAGGTCTATTAAATAATGTAGTTTTATGGTGCTTTATATAGAAGGTGTCACACTGTGGCCTGATCAGCAGGAAGTAATATCCCCTAGTCTAACCCTTTCTGGTATACAGTAATAGAAAGTAAAGAGGCTGGTTTGGTACTGAATAAGTGAGGAATGAGTCTCCTAAATTAGTGATTATATTTTGCCTGCCTGTCTGGAATCCTTTGCACAGGGATGCAGGCTCAGATCCTTTTTCAGAGATAGAATAAATCCAACAGGTTGAAGAAGCCAGCATATCTGGAGGCCAGACATGTGGAAGAATGGTGGCCACTGATTCTCTCCTGTCCTTCCCATCACCCATATTGGGACCTTGGCTTGGCACTCAGGTGCTGAGAGGTGACATAGACTCAGCTTTGCAAATAGCCAGTGATGGTTCTGACCCAAGAACAAAAGAATGACATCATTTGTATTATGCTCCAAGTTACCAAAAGACAAGGCTACCTGGTATTTATTTGCAAGGCTGATTTATGTTCAGAATTTCCCACTGATATGCCTAAGATGTGATGTAGGTCAGCAGACTGTGATTCTTAGCAAAAAATGAACAGCACACTAGGGGGAAAGCCAAGTGGAATACTCTGGTATATATAACTGCATTCCTAAGCCTTTGAGATGGTTCCTGAGCCTTCAGCACTAACCTGTGAGGGTTACTGGTTCCCTCTATAGATGCATCATACACAGCTCCATTAAGTCACCTCCCAGCATTTGCCAAGCCTCCCAATTTAAAAATGAAATGCATTTTTCTAGCCTGTTTAATTGGCTTAACTTAGTATATTTTTTATTAGTTAGAATGTAATAGAAGCTTAAAATAAAGTTACTCTGATTATATTTGCATCTGCACGAATGTGAGTGCTTTTAATTTTCACAACACACTACTGATCAGAAGTTCTTGAGAAGTCATCCTTTCTCTGCAGCAGACAACTCACCTTGGACAGGACAACAGGCATTTGTTCTAAAAAGAAAATGGCTATAATTGGTGTTGAAGTCAAAGTTACCTTTCTTCGCCTCCTTATCTCCGTCTTATTAACCATATTTACTGAAGAAACAAGTTGAATATTTAGTTAAAAAACCAGCTTCCAGAAACTTCAAAATCTCTGCAGATATTTTCTTATGAACCATCTCATGAACCCTTATGCTGAATTAGTGGAAAGCGAACATGGAGATCTATCATTATGAATGCCTGATACAATTTTAGAACAATGACAGAAAATATATGGCAAACATGCATGGGAGATCTATGTTCAAGGCAGACATCACTGAACAATTGCAACTCAGATAGGACCTCTGAGTCCTTCTCAATTCCAGGCAGCAACTACCAAGTGATTTGAAGCTGGCATTCAGGATGAAACCCATTTGTCATGGCTTCATTAGAGCAAACTCATCCTCTTTAATAGCTGGAAATCCACACATATAATAATGTTGTGACTCTAAGAATCATATTTCAGCAATGGTAACAATGTATGTGTCTCAGATCACAGCAGAGACCATGAGTTCTAGCTTCTGTCTGTGCTAGCTCTCAATGCTATTAAACAAATCTTCATTTGTGTTTAGAGATTCAATGACAAAAGAAGAGTAATAATAGTTATATTTCCACAAGGTTCTTCTGGGGGATATATCAAACATTAACAACAACCCACATAGGATGATAGATAGAGATAGATAGTTGTATTTTATTCAAATAATTTTATCTCATCAAACTTGTGAAAGATGTAAAGATTACTATTTCCAGCCTGTTAATGGAGAGTCCAATAAAGTCTAGAGAGCTATGTGTCATGACAACTCAAGCTGTGGGTGGGAGTAGGCAGTGAGAACAAACTCTGGTTTCAGAACCACACTTGCTCTTATTGTCTCTTTGAAGTTTTAAGAACCCTGAGTTTTAAGATCAACTTCAAGACTCTTTCAACAGCTTGTAGTATGACAGCAAATAAGAATATGCACAATAATAGGAGCATGGAGTTTGTACTAGAGACGGAGATGGAGTTTGTACTAGACTCAATGGCAATTAAAAGTCCCAAAATCCCAGATGGAAGGTCATTGTTTATGAATATCCAATGTCATTACAAAGTTAATAAATAGTTCAACCAACCCAACCATCCATCCATTCACCTTTCCTTCCATTTAGAAGGAAATTCCCCTACAATTCAGCCAACTATCAAGCCTTCCAACCATCTCTATTCCAACCATCCATTTATGTATGCATTGGTATCATTCTAAAGAGACAGAGCATAGGAATTCAAAGTTGAAAATTCCATAGTACTCAGAAAGAGTTTATAATGCAGAGGAGATGCAAGATACATAAGCAGATAAAGAACAATTGGATAGGTATGATAATAGAGGAATGGCCAGAGTACCACAGGAAAAAAGACAAAGTATGTCTGAAGAAGACTTCCCTGTTGTTTATAGGAATAAGAAGGAAAGGTTTAGACTGAATCTTGAAAAAAACAATATGAGGTAAGTAGGAGACCATTTAAGAAAGGAGAATGAACTATGCCCTTGGTTAGCTTGGCACAGAGAGATGGTGAGTATCCATCAGGGAAAGGCAGGGCCAGAAACACAGGTAAGGGTCAGAGTTGGAGCACTCCCTGATATGAGAATTTGCTCCTCTGGGCCGTAATGCAGAGTGGAGCTAGTAGAGGCAGCCAGAGACAAACTGGATACCAATCTAAAAGTTATGGATGAATCAAGGAGTGACAGGGCCAAAAGAGTAGAAGGTTGATGCCTAATGCAGGCCAATGAGGAAGGTTTCAGATTAGGAATGAGGCCACAGTTGGGCTTTGGAGTGGGAAATGAGATACACCCATTTGGGCCAAAGCAGATCAGCGGGAGAGCTGGCAGGTGGGGTGCTGTGCTTGTCAGGCACTCATAGAAGTGTGAACAGACAAGTCCCTAGAAGCTAAAATTTGGTCAGACAAAAAATCACCCTGGGAAGGGACCACTGAAGATCCAGGATCTTGGCCAAAAAGTCATGCTCACTTCTGTATTCAAGACAAAGTTCTTCACCTCAGGACCCAACGGAACAACCACTTCTGGAAACATGCTTTCCCTTATTAAATCAAGTTTGTCCCTCTGTTCTCAGCACCTTAACTCATTCAGGCTCATAAGCACCCACCTTTCTCTACAATAATGAAAACAAGCCAATCCAAAAAAAAAAAAAAGTGTCTGTGAGAAATCACTTTATAAAACAAAACAAGCCAATAAATGAGAAACAAAGCACTCAGTTACACTAAGAAAAGGACCAAGAAAATTGTCTTTACCTCAATTACCAGGAATTACACTAAGCATTTTCTAGGTCTAGAATTTGAACATTTTTTAAAGATACTTGGTAAACTCACTGCTGATACAATTCATGTACTCTCATTAATGTTTACACTAGCCATTATTCTAGGACTTAAGTAATTATCTAAGCACTGCATCACCAGCCCTCTGAATAACATAAGGGGTCTAATGACTATTCTCTATTAGTAAAAAGCATGCACCTATCCACAAAGAAGATTCTTTCCTCTTCTGTCTGGTGTCAGCAAGTTTGGATAGTAAGAAGATACAGCAAGGGATCAAAAAAATTACACTCAGATTTACACTTTGTTACCTGAAGATGGCAGATTTTAAATTACCTCAAAAAGACTATCACTCTTTCCATTGAGAAGCGGGGTCCACGTTTCCCTTCTTGTCCTTGATTCTAGGTGGGCTTTATGATTTTTTTTTGCCCTTTGACTGAAGGAATGTGATAGAAACAATGCTGCCAGTTCTCAGGCCCGAGCTTTGGGAAACTGGCAGCTTCCACTTTATCTCTTGAAATCTTCATGGAAGCCCTGAGTATCTATGTAACAGCTCAACTACTCTGAGACCAGCAATGCTGGAGAAGCCACATGGAGATGCTCCCACCATCCTAGCTGAGCTCAGCCTTCCAGCTTCCTCCACCAAGGCACCAGACACAGAAATGAAGCCATGTGGGACCCTCTAGACCTGCCCATCTGCTAGCTGAATACCACCATTAATTGATATCACTTAAGAATAACCCTGATCAGCCTTGCCCAAATTCCTGTCCCACCAAATCAGTAGATATGATTAAATACTTGTGCTTTTTACAATTTTTTATTATTATTTGTTTTTATTTTTATTATGTATGGTACATGTGATACTTTGTTACATGCACAGAATGTGTAACGATCAAGTCAGGGTATTTAAGAGGTATCCATCACCTCAAATATTTATCATTTCTATGTGTTGAGAATATTTCAAGTCCTCATGATAGGCTACTTTGAAATATACAATACATTATTGTTAAATGTCATTTTAAGCCACTGGATTTGAGGTTATTTATAATGCAGTAAGACATTATCAGAACCTTTAGCCTTAAAAATCTCAGGAAAGAGAGGAATTCACTGATTAATGCTATTCTTTGATTCAAGGAAATGCTCTGTTGTTGCGTTGGGGTTTCATGAGAGACAGACAGCGTCACCACAGGTACAGTCTCGCATCTGGAATTATTATAGTGAAAGAGAGAGACTACTTCTCTGGTGGAAGTAGCAAAGCTTTATTGTTCAAGACCACCTTTTATAGTTGGCTGGTCACGTACACATTATTAATTAACAAGCAAAGCATTCATACTACTTTCTAAAGTTAGTTCAACCTTCAAAAAGACACAA